CTCTGTTTTGTTTGTAGCTACATCGTGTTTGGCCAGCGTTGTGTCAAGTCACTCCGGTTCACACTGACCGTGGCGTGTGCAGAAAGTAGCCCATCACAACTTTTTCCAACCGATCTCGATGGCTAACGTTATATCTTTCAAAAAACGCATCGGTAGAAAGGACTATCAACACATACTGTGGGCGGCAGGTAGCTTAGTGGTTAAGAGCGTTGTGCCAGTAACCGAAAGGTTGCTGGTTCTAATCCCCGAGCCGACTAGGTGAACAATCTGTCGATGTGGCCTTGAGCAAGGCACTTAACCCTATTTGCTCCTGTAAGTGGCTCTGGATAAGAGCGTCTGCTAAATGACTAAAATGTAACTGTAAAATGATACTGAGCAGCTCATGTTATAGACAGAAGCACGCTACATGGCAGACCAATCCAAACTCATCTCACGGCATGTCCAGCCCATCCATTATCTCAGCCAATCATGGCTAGCGGGAAGGTACCTGTCTTTTTTCTTTTTTCGGCTAAACCAACTAGGCTCGTAATTTAAATGTATTTGAATTTAGAGATGGAATACAAGTTTGTTATTAAGGCACATGAAAGCTCACATGTTCCAGAAGGCATTTCTGAAAAATAAATAAAAAGATGTTCAAATGCCTCTCCTAGTTTACTGAAACGAGTCATATATTATATCTGTTTGGGCTTAAGTTATATAAAAAAAAATATCCATACAGTTACATGTCGGGATATTATTTTTGACTATATATATAATATCGTATCGACAATATCGCAATATTATTTGTGTACTAGTCGGCTGTAGCTGCACCAAACCAGTATGTTTCCTCCATAGCTTGTTCTCCATCTTTTTTTAAAAATAGGACGCCAATTTGTTTCAGCATTGACTGCTTGTCAGAATACATGTTTCCCTCCCTATGGCTCTCGCAAATTGAACGCGCCTTCGAGAGGAATAATTATCTCGCATAGAACACACAACAAGCCTACTAGGTAAAGAGGTCAACCATTCTACTATGGCGTGGTCTGATTTTGTTTTAATAACAACATTACAAAAATAGACTGGAAAGGGCCATCCATAAAGTAGAGGCTTTAAATGACTTTACCAGCAGCTACAGTAGGTTACCCACAGCTGTCTGAGTCTTTACCAGCAGCTACAGTAGGTTACCCACAGCTGTCTGAGTCTTTACCAGCAGCTACAGTAGGCTACACACAGCTGTCTGAGTCTTTACCAGCAGCTAGAGCAGGCTACACACAGCTGTCTGAGTCTTTACCAGCAGCTACAGTAGGCTACACACAGCTGTCTGAGTCTTTACCAGCAGCTACAGTAGGCTACACACAGCTGTCTGAGTCTTTAACAGCAGCTACAGTAGGCTACACACAGATGTCCGAGTCTATACCAGCAGCTACAGTAGGTTACACACAGCTGTCCGAGTCTATACCAGCAGCTACAGTAGGTTACACACAGCTGTCCGAGTCTTTACCAGCAGCTACAGTAGGCTACACACAGCTGTCCGAGTCTTTACCAGCAGCTACAGTAGGCTACACACAGCTGTCTGAGTCTTTACCAGCAGCTACAGTAGGTTACCTACAGCTGTCCGGTCTTTACCAGCAGGCTACAGTAGGTTACACACAGTCTGGTCCGAGTCTATACCAGCAGCTACAGTAGGTTACCCACAGCTGTCCGATTCTTTACCCAGCAGCTACAGTAGGTTACACACAGCTGTCCGAGTCTTTACCAGCAGCTACAGGTAGGCTACACACAGCTGTCTGAGTCTTTACCCAGCAGCTACAGTAGGCTACACACAGCTGTCCGAGTCTTTAACCAGCAGCTACAGTAGGCTACACACAGCTGTCCGAGTCTTTACCAGCAGCTACATTAGGCTACACACAGCTGTCGAGTCTTTACCAGCAGCTACAGTAAGGCTACACACATCTGTCCGAGTCTTTACAGCAGTTACAGTAGCTACACACCGCTGTCTGAGTCTTTACCAGCAGCTACAGTAGGTTACACACATCTGTCCGAGTCTTTACCAGCAGCTACAGTAGGCTACACACAGCTGTCTGAGTCTTTACCAGCAGCTTACAGTAGGCTACACACAGCTGTCTGAGTCTTTCCCAGAGCTACACGGCTCACACAGCTGTTGATTTTTTTTAAAACCAGCAGTACAGTAGGCCTACACACAGTTGTCTGAGTCTTTTACCCCAGCTAAAGTACACACACAGCTGTCTGGGGTTTTACCACACCCCAAGTGGGGTAACACGCTGTCCGGTCTTTACCAGAGCTAAGTAGGCTAAACACAGCTGTTGAGTCTTTACCACAGCTAAGTAGGTACCACATTTGAGTTTTTACACAGCTACAGTAGGCTACCAAGGCCCGAGTCTTTTACCAGCACTACGGGTTACCCACAGCTGTTTGAGTTTTTCCGGCACAGTAGGCTACCACAGCTGCTGAGTTTTTCCAGCAGCTCAGTAGCTACACACAGCTGTCCGAGTTTTTACCCAGTACAGTGGCTAAAACACTTCTGAGTTTTCCCAGCAGCTACAGTAGGTACACACAGCTGTCTGAGTCTTTCCCCGCAGCTACAGCAGGCTAACACACTGTCTGATCTTTACCCGCAGCTACAGTAGGGGCTACACACAGCTGTCTGAGTCTTTACCAGCAGCTACAGTAGGCTACACACAGCTGTCTGAGTCTTTACCAGCAGCTACAGTAGGTTACACACAGCTGTCCGAGTCTATACCAGCAGCTACAGTAGGTTACCCACAGCTGTCCGAGTCTTTACCAGCAGCTACAGTAGGTTACACACAGCTGTCCGAGTCTTTACCAGCAGCTACAGTAGCTAACACAAAGCTGTCTGAGTCTTTACCAGCAGCTACAGTAGGCTACACACAGCTGTCTGAGTCTTACCAGCAGCTACAGTAGGCTACACCACAAGCTGTCTGAGTCTTTACCAGCAGCTTACAGTAGGCTTACACACAGCTGTCCGAGTCTTATACCAAGCCCAGCTACAGTAGGTTACCCACAGCTGTCCGAGTCTTTACCAGCCGATACAGTAGGTTACACACAGCTGTCCGAGTCTTTACCACAGCTACAGTCGGCTTACACACAGGCCTGTCTGAGTCTTTCACCAGACAGCTACAGTAGGCTAAACACAGCTGTTCCGATTCTTTCCCACAGCTACATAGGCACACACAGCTGTCCGGTCTTTCCAGCACTACAGTAGGCTACACACAGCTGTCGAGTCTTACCAGCACTCAGTAGGTTACACAATCGTCCGGTTTTTTCCCACATTACAGTTTTCCCACACCCCGTCCGAGTCTTACACGGACGAGGCTAACCCAGCTGCCCGATCTTTACCAGCATCAGTAGTTACAACTCTGTCAAAGCTTTCCCACAGGCTACGTATTACACACCCCTTTTCCGAGTCTTCCCAGCAGTACGTAGGTACACACAGCTGTCGATGGGCTTTATAGACTGTTTAGTCCCTCATCTGTTGTCTGCAAACGTCACGCTGTCAGTTCAGCGCCCCCAGCGTAAAATAGAAAATACAAATTTAAAGAATACATTTTTTTGAGAATATTTTTTTGTTCCTGTTCCAAACATCCCTCTCCTCGCGCTTCGTAAAAACGCACTGGGGGAGGGGTCAGGGGGGAGGGCCCTTCTTGCTATCACGGAGGAGGAGGCCCGGGGGGAGGGACCTTAAACCTCTCTAGCTTACCTGGAGGAGGGGGGGTAAGGGAGGGCCTTTCTATTAACACTGGAGGAGGAGGTCAGAGGGGAGGGACCTTCTCTGCTAAAAAGGGAGGAGGGGTAGAGGGAGGGCCCTTCTCTAGCATAAAAGGGAGGGGGCAGAGGGGGGGGACTTAAACTTCTCAGTTAACACTGGAGGGGGTAGTCAGAGGGGAGGGCCCTTAAAACTTCTCTAGTTAACAGGGAGGAGGCGTAAAGGGGAAAGAGGGACCTTAAACCTTCTCAGTTATACACGGGGGGGAAAGTCAGAGGGGGGGGCCCTTTAAAACCTTCTCTAGTTACACGGGAGGGGGGGTCAAGGGGAGGCCCTTTAAAAACCTTCTCTATTTATAAGGAGGAGGGGGTAGAGGGAGGGATTTAAAACCTTCTCTAGTTTAAAAGGAGTAGGAGTCAGAGGGAGGGCCCTTAAACCTTCTCTACTATACACTGGAGGAGGGGGGTCAGAGGGGAGGGCCCTTAAAACCCTCTAGCTATACATGGAGGAGGTGGCGGGGAGGGCCCCCTTAAACCTTCTCTAGTTATACACTGGAGGAGGGGGTCAGAGGGAGGGCCCTTAAACCTTCTTAGTTTTACACGGGAGGAGGAGGGCGAGGGGGGGGCCCAAAAACCTTTTTAGTTATACACTGGAGGGGAGGTCAGGGGGAGGGGACCTTAAACCTTCTCTGCTAAAACTGGGGAGGAGGTCAGAGGGGAGGGCCCTTAAAACCTTCTCAAATTTATACACGGAGGAGGCCCAGAGGGGAGGGATTTAAACCTTCTCTAGCTATACATGGAGGGGGAGTCAGGGGGGAGGGACCTTTAAACCTTCTTAGCTATCATGGAGGAGGAGGTCGAGGGGGGGACCTTTAAACTTTTTGTTATACCGGGGGGAGGAGGTCAGAGGGGGGGGACCTTAAACCTTCTCTAGTTATCACGGAGGAAGGAGGTCAGAGGGGAGGGACCTTCTCTATTAACACTGGGAGGAGGAGGCAAGAGTGAGGGACCTTAAACCTTCTCTAGCTATACACTGAGGAGGAGGTCAAGGGGAGGGACCTATAAACCTTCTCTAGTTATAACTGGAGGAGGAGGTCAGAGGGGAGGGGACCTTAAACCTTCTCTAGTTATACACTGGAGGAGGTCAGAGGGGAGGGACCTTAAACCTTCTCTAGTTATACACTGGAGGAGGAGGTCAGAGGGGAGGGACCTTAAACCTTCTCTAGCTATACACTGGAGGAGGAGGTCAGAGGGGAGGGACCTTAAACCTTCTCTAGTTATACACTGGAGGAGGAGGTGAGGAAGGAATGGCAGAAAGATGAGCTGAGGTGGAAGAGCCGTTCTCTATGGATGCTCACCTGCTCCAGTGTAGCAGCGAATCCTTGTCTGTCGGCCACGTAGGGAAGGCCATGGACCAACCCAACCTTCTCCGTCATCTGATAGGCCATATCCGTCAGGGTGTCGGGTTTCACTGGCGAGGAAGAGGCCAGGATTGGCCAATCAATCAATCGTTGTCACCAAGGGCTTTTACAGATCAGGCAATGGAATCTAAAATTAACTCATCATGCTCAAAGTATTTCATCTAACTGCAGTACTTGAATCTAGTAACATGTTTGTATGTAAAGCAATCAAAGCCTGATGATCTAGGTTCAAGGTTCAAAACTAGAGCTGAACGGAACCTCCATGATCTAATGGGAGACACATCAGCCATAGTAATAAGAAAGAAACAGGGTGGCTCCCTGCTCTGTTGTTATGATAAAATCAAGTGTAAGGAAGTGTCCCAAATACCACCCTATTCCCTACGTAGTGCACTACTTTTGACCAGGGTGTAGGGAACAGGGTGCCATTTGGGACACAGAGTTTGTTTCATACCTCGTATTCCGCTGTCGCAGATCCACACCAGGTCATACTTTGCCCCCTCATAACCTGGCATCAGGTTATTAATCTTAGGGTTGATGCCAACCTTTTTCCCTCCTGGAATGGAAACAATGAGGTCAGTTTTCTGGCCTGAGGTGTCCTAGCCATAGTGACTGATCACCAAGACTGTGTCACTGATCACCAAGACTATGGCACTGATCACCAAGACTGTGTCACTGATCACCAAGACGGTGTCTCTGATCACCAAGACGGTGTCTCTGATCACCAAGACGGTGTCTCTGATCACCAAGACGGTGTCTCTGATCACCAGACGGTGTCTCTGATCACCAGACGGTGTGACTGATCACCAGAGACATTATCTTAAACCTGTACACTTTCACTTCCCTTTAAAGGATAAGAGCGTCTGCTAAATGACTAAAATGTGAAAAATGTGAAGCTGAAATCCTTAATGGTGAAACTTCCACTTCCTTTTGCAATATTACAACAAAGGAGTTACTTCAAACCGTGAACACTGTCTTTTTCTCTGACATTATTGCACACGCGATAGAACAGCAGAATATGTACTGAGACTTGTTTTACCACTCTTCTCCTACATTTAATCAACAAAACAAAAACAACAAGGTGCTGGGGTGAACAGCTGTTTCCTACTTTAGGATCTCAGCTTTAACCTACGACAAAAAGGGTTGTTTTTATTGTGGGAAGGCTTGGATGGACAGTAGATGGGGTTTGGAGGTTTTTAAACTAAATGGCCACATAGGCCCTTTAGGGTCGCCGTTAATAAAATGGCCAATGAGGCGTTCAGGGTCGTCCCTTAAAAAAAAGGCCACATGAGGCCCTTCGGGTCGTCCCTTTAAATAAAATGGCCAAATGAGGCCCTTAGGGCGTCCGGTTTAAAATAAAATGGCCACATGAGGCCGTTAGGGCTCCGTTAAAATAAATGGCCCATGAGGCCGTTTTTAGGGGGTTTCCCTTTAAAATAAAATGGCCCCATGAGCCGTTAGGGTCGTCCCTTAAAAAAAAAGGCCCCCGAGGCCGTTCAGGGTTCCGTTTTTAAAATAAAATGGCCCCTGACCGTTAGGATCGTCCGTTAAACTAAAATGGCCACATGAGGCCGTTCAGGGTCGTCCGTTAAACTAAAATGGCCACATGAGGCCGTTCAGGATCGTCCGTTAAACTAAAATGGCCACATGAGGCCGTTCAGGGTCGTCCGTTAAACAAAAAGGCCACGAGGCCCTTAGGGGCTCCTTTAAATAAAAAGGCCCCGAGGCCCTTCAGGGTGTCCCTTAAACTAAATGGCCACATGAGGCCCTTTTAGGGGTCCCTTAAACTAAAATGGCCCCTGAGGCCGTTCAGGATGTCCCTTAAAATAAAATGGCCCATAGGCCGTTCAGGGCGTCCGTTAAAAAATAAAAGGCCACGAGGCCGTTCAGGGGGCGTCCGTTAACAAAATGGCCACATGAGGCCCTTCAGGGTTCGTTTTTAAATAAAATGGCCCATAGGCCCTTTTAGGGGTCGTCCTTAAACTAAAAAGGCCACATAGGCCGTTAGGGTGGTCCGTTAAACTAAAATGGCCCGAGGCCGTTTTAGGGTCGTCCGTTTAAAATAAAATGGCCACAGGCCGTTCAGGGGGTCGTTTGTTAAACTAAAGGACAGAGGCCGTTTTAGGATCGTCCGTTTTAAAAATAAAGGCCCCCTGAGGGCCCCTCGGGTGCCTTAAACTAAAATGGGCCCCAAAGAGGCCGTTCAGGTGCCTTAAAAATAAAAAAGGCCACATGGGGGGCCTTCAGGGTCGTCCGTTAAACTAAAATGCCACGAGGCCCTTCAGGGTCGTCGTAAATAAAAAGGCCACATGAGGCCGTTTAGGGTCTTTCCGTTAAACTAAAAAAGGCCCTGGGCCGTTCGGGTCGTCCGTTAAAATAAAATGGCCAAATGAGGCCGTTTGGGGTCGTCCCTTAAACTAAAAGGCCCCATGAGGCCGTTTAGGTCGTCCGTTTTAAAATAAAATGGCCCCTGAGGCCGTTTCAGGGGCGCCGTTAAACTAAAAAGGCCCCATGAGGGTTAGGATCGTCCATTAAAATAAAATGGCCCATGAGGCCGTTTGGGCGTGTTTTAAAATAAAATGGGGAAATGAGGGGGTCGGACGTCCCTTAAATAAAATGGCCCCAAAGAGGCCGTTAAGGGTTCGCCGTAAACAAAATGGCCACGAGCTTTTAGGGTCCCCCCCCTTTTTAAAAAAATGGCCACGAGGGGCCGTTTTAGGGTCGTCCCTTTTTTAAAATAAAAAGGCCAATGAGGCCCTTCAGGTCGTCCGTTAAACTAAAATGGCCACATGAGGCCGTTCAGGGTCGTCCGTTAAACTAAAATGGCCACATGAGGCCGTTCAGGGTCGTCCGTTAAACTAAAATGGCCACCATGAGGCCGTTCAGGGTCGTCCGTTAAACCAAAAATGGCCACATGAAGCCGTTCAGTCTCTAACAGATCAGAGAGTATAATATAGCAGTGCATCCATTTAGTCACATTTTGCAACCCTTTAAAAAGAGCCACTGCCTTTAAAAAGCAACAAATCCCTTTGAAAACGGCCTCTGTGGTCCTCTGTAGCTCAGCTGGTAGAGCTTATATTATTATATTATAATTATAATTATATTATTATAATATTATTATTATCATCAATATGAGTCAGAAACGAGTTATTCTAGAGTAAAAATGTAAATAGGATAATTTTGGTCATAAAGTCAGTCTCGTCTAAAACAGAGTTAAGAACATCCATGCGTCACTACGGGCAAATGAAGGTTGGGTTTTTATTTGAAGATGTCCATTTGCCCACTAACATGGAGTGAACAGCTGCGGTGATTGGTCTCTAACTATTTACATTTAAAATGTTTAGTCATTTAGCAGACGCTCTTATCCAGAGCGACTTACAGTTAAGTGAGTGCGTACATTATTTTTATTTTTTAATACTGGCCCCCCCGTGGGAATCAAACCCTCAACCCTGGCGTTGCAAACGCCATGCTCTACCAACTGAGCTACATCCCTGCCGGCCATTCCCTCCCCTACCCTGGGCCAAATTGTGCGCCGCCCCGTGGGTCTCCCGGTCGCGGGATTCAATATCACAGACGGTGAGACAGACCTGCTCAGCAGCTCTGACTGTTTTACATAAGACAACACGTCGTCACACATGTTTTAACTTGACAAATACTGCACCAAACACCTTGGTTAGATGTCAAACTGCTCAACTAAAACATCCTCGTCAAAAAACGTCAAATTAGTACAGATTTCTTGAGTTATCTTAAAAATGAATGACTTTATAATGACTTTAAAAGATGACTCAAATGTACTCTATTGTTTGACGCTGCAGAATTTTTGTGGCGGGGTGCCACTAAATCATGGGCTGGTGCCACTAAATCATGGGCTGGTGCCACTAAATCATGGGCTGGTGCCACTAAATCATGGGCTGGTGCCACTAAATCATGGGCTGGTGCCACTAAATCATGGGCTGGTGCCACTAAATCATGGGCTGGTGCCACTAAATCATGGGCTGGTGCCACTAAATCATGGGCTGGTGCCACTAAATCATGGGCTGGTGCCACCAACTGAAATATTATACGCTCCCGTGCCATCAGGGGGAAATGTTCGTCTGGAGAGGAATCACTAGAGAGGAATCACTAGAGAGGAATCACTAGAGAGGAATCACTAGAGAGGAATCACTAGAGAGGAATCACTAGAGAGGAATCACTAGAGAGGAATCACTAGCGAGGAATCACTAGAGAGGAATCACTAGAGAGGAATCACTAGAGAGGAATCACTAGAGAGGAATCCGAATCACTAGAGAGGAATCACTAGAGAGGAATCACTAGAGAGGAATCACTAGAGAGGAATCACTAGAGAGGAATCACTAGAGAGGAATCACTAGAGAGGAATCATCAGATGCTGCTAATGAGCTAGAATCAATAGCTACTCCCAATGCCCTCACCGTGTAGGCTAACCACACACAGCTTATTCATGGTGGCATTTCCGCCTCTACAATCCAATAACAACACACATTTTGACATCTTAATTTTTTCAAATATAGACTAGTCTGCAATGTGTAAAACTGTTCATTCCAACAAGTTCCCCACTTCAATACTACACATATTAACATATTTATTAGATAGATTTTAGAATAATGGCTGGAACGTGAATATTAATTCACAGTTTGTTCTAATAATACATCAAATCAGGCTCTTACCTATAAATAGCCTGGCGTCTACGTTGGGATATTTGCCCAGGAGCTTTTTACACACGTCGATGGCTGGGTCGTCATGGTCCTGCACACACAACAGGATCTCAAACTGTAGATAGAAACACAGACAGAGAGAGAGAGAAGCGATGAGACAAGATCGGAACTAGCAATTGGATATCACGAATTTGGGGAGAAAAATTTGGAAAAAAAGTACACACAAAAAATCTATAGAAATAAAGAAGGTGGAGACACTCATCCTGGATGATTGATATAGGCTGCTGTGGTTCGGTTGTCTGACCAAACCAACACACATCACGACCCTGAAGGATGGGGGCGAAGTGGTTCGGTATCAACCAAACCGTCTCCAACTCTAGTAGATGAACGTCCCCCTAGGAGGACATCACTCCTACTGCCAGAGACAAGTCCCACCCTATCCAGTCAGGGAATCTCTAAAAACTGGAACATGCGAGGACACTTTAATAAGGCCTATCATTGCGCAACAATTCTAAAAGACAATCACATAATATGGCCACGAATAGCTACTATTTTTATTTCTGATCTGGTAATTGAAGCTCGCTTCCCATTCGCCATGTATATGCAACTAGACCGGCTTCATTAGGAACACCTGCTCTTTCCATGACAGACTGACCAGGTGAATCCAGGTGAAAGCTATGATCCCTTATTGATGTCACCTGTTAAATCCACTTCAATCAGTGTAGATGAAGGGGAGGAGACAGGTTAAAGAAGGATTTTTAAGCCTTGAGATAATTGAGACATGGATTGTGTATGTGTGCCATTCAGAGGCTGAATGGGCAAGACAAAAGATTGAAGTGCCTTTGAACTGGGTATGCTAGTAGGTGCCAGGCACATCTGGGTTTTTCACGCTCAACAGTTTCCCGTGTGTATCAAGAATGGTTCAC